AGTGCAAAACGTAGGCGTCTGGCCAGTTTCTACTTGTTTACTTCCCCATTGCAGAAACTTATTCTGCGAACACCGTAGGAATGGAACTTCTAAAAAGTCAGACTCGTTTTACGACGCAGCAAGAAACAGTTAAACATATGGACTTCCTGCGGAACGAAGTCCGGAGTCCAAAGTGTGACTCAAAACTCCTAGGAGTTTCACGATATTCACACTGCTGATGATTCTCAATAAAGATGAAACAGCTCTACAATGCTTCTCGGCTTTTCAGCATAAATTATCTTCGCTGACAGGACAAAACCTCCATTGGAAATATCTAAATCTCCTCCCACTACCGATCATAAACTTGACCGCCGGTTTTGGTAAGATCCACCTTCCTAGTCACCTTCGTGTCCACTTCGGAGCCTAGTTCTCAGTACTGATGTTGTAATAATTATTCAACTGTTTAACGAGACCTTCGGTAAGAAAACAGGGTCAGTCGACTGGTGGGATCGGCTCGACCGTCCGAACTGATTTGCATTATGGCTGAAACGTGCTGAAACCAGGACAAGTTTGTTCAAATCCTTGGAATGTGATGAGGCCACGAACCAGACACACCAGTATGACTCACAGTGGAGCTGGTCTCTTTTGCACGCTTACGATTTTTGTCGGTCGTTCCAGCGGATTTCGACGGTCACATAGATCCATAGATGGGAATAGACTTAACCGTTGCAGTAAATCAAAGATCGAGAGCATCCTTCACCAAAACATTTTCAACATATTTTTTGATGGCAAATAAATTTTAGTGCGCTTCAGAAATTACAAGTTGCTTTACAAAATTTGCATCCATTGCCAGATAATTTTCTCACTGGGTTTGCATATCATTTTACGGGAAAAAACACTGCTTCAACCTGAAGGGAAAAGGGAACCCAACCGTATTGACAATCTAGCTACCTTTTCTCCACCTTTTTGATACATCAAATGAGAACGTGACTTCAAGGTAAGCCAGGGAGAAAGGCGCCAGTTCTTTGTGAATCGCTGTTCTAGTCACGGACAAAATGGATGGGGTTATAAATTTTTAATCTTGACTCCCATAGCAACAAGGGCGGTTGTGAGGCAATACTTCTCACCCAGTCGGTCTGACACATTTACGATGTTCCACACTTGCTTCAGAGCCCTCTGATAACCTCCGGTTTTGCTGATTGAGTTTGTTGAACTGATGATAGACCAATCAAGAACGCCCGTTGTAGCGTTGTAGCGCTCCCTTGATTTTTCTTCTTCTCAGACAATACCAGCTGGCATGTTCAGGCAACTTGAAGCTGATTCATCTCACAGGCTACATCAGCTTACTCTCAACCCTAACTGATTAAGGTCGAACTACCCTAGAACTCCTCTTACTGCCTATCTGACACAAGGTTAGTTACAAAGAGCGCTTTGCATCATAGCAAAACCTGAAAGCAGTGATGCACCAAAAGTAACGGTATTTGTCGTTGATACAACAAGGGTGACCAATCGATCAAAACTCTAGCTCAGCTTCTGTGAACTCTTTGGACTGCACACTGACTACATGCAGGCTTGGGAAACCTGAGGAACGATTCGCAGTTTTGTTCACTTCTTGATTTGTTGCTGATGCGACATGTTAAACTGAGATAGCCACAGCTGTCGACAAAACTCTGTTTGCCCTTTTCATGAATGAAACTACTCACAAGGTTGCTGACAACTCTTCGATAGCCCACGACGGGTTTCGCCCTTCTTGGGACTTATCAGGTAGGCGCAGTCCCCGAGTTTCCATCAACCTTATGTTCTACTTGAACTCAAATTGCACTGTTTTCGAGAAATACACTCATTTGTAGAACATCATAAACGAGAGATTCAGTTGAGTTTCCCGTGAAAACCAAATTGATTTGCAAATGAGTGTATTTCTCTATTTGCCCTGTTAACAAGAAGCTCTGGAGACAGTATCGATAGAACAAGATGAACCCGTCTGTTAGACGTAAGGCCGTTTAGTGCAGATAGCAATGGTGAAGCTGCACTTACACCCAGTATAACTGCTCACGGCATATACAGTCAGAAACCCGTGAGCGCCTTGTCTTGTCTGTACAGAAGTAAACGTCGTTGACACCTAACCATTGCATTCATCACAACCCACTACTTGGATAATCCTCTCATTCACAATGTTCGATCATGATACCAAAGTTTCCTTGATTAAAATCCTGTAGACGAAATGCCTTTGTGATCCTTAGAAGAGGTCTACAAATTGTTGGTAGTGTGAGGAGATTTGGGGTTTTTGTGGGATTTCGTCCATCTATGTTTCACTTACAGGACGAAATCTCCACGAAGCCTACAAATGTCCAATTTGAAGTACTCACTTTGAAGTCTCTGATTTGTATATTTCAATCAACAGAAAGCTACAACATCATCTCTTGAATTTACGCTCGAATGAAACAACCAATAGGATCTGCAAGCAGTTAATGAGGGTCGTCAGTGCTTTGCTTAATCAGCAGTCTCTGGAAGCTGACTCAGCGATGTTTTGTTCTCGTATTTTTTTCGCGTCGTTTGTTTGTACTTTGCATGGAAGTCTCTGACCTACCCATCCTCACACAATAGCTTTGCTCACAACAAACAGATTAGGAGTATTAGGTTACCGCTTTTTGTTTTGACTAGGACTTGTGACATTCCACTAGCTGAGACGTAAATATTGAGCTAATTCGAATTGGCCGACAGAAATTATTGTCGTGCATTATTTCTTTGTTTCCAGGCCATTTGGCGAGCATGCACTGCCACATCGGTCAATGTGAGTCGTGTTACTCGAATCTCAGCCGTAAGCAACGTTAGCGACTACGTTAAGTACTCCTTGCTTTCTCTCAAGCGATCTGTCTCAACCGTTCGACTTCATGTTTGTTCTTACCAACCGAGTAAACGATAGAAATTGTGAAAGCTCATGTCGGAGTGGATGTGAGGGTAGAAGGCCAAGCAGTAGCGATTCAAGTAGAACGGTTCAAGTAGAACAAAGTTGTCCGAAACTCGGGGACTGCGCCTACCTGATGAGCCACAAGAAGGTCAAAACCGGTCGTGGGCTGTCGACGAGTTTTCGGCAGCCTTGTGAGTAGTTTCCTTTATGAAAGTAACGATCCGGGGTTCACTCAGCTTATTCTGCTTTCTACTCGAAGTATCTCGGGCTTGTTAAACGAAAGTGGAGTTGGGGATTGCGGTTGTTATTCAACTCAGGCATCTATTATCAGTTCCGCGTGGTTTCGTGTACTGTACGAGTGGAAATACATCTTTCAGATGCGGTCAAATCGAGCCATAACCAGAATTATGAGGAAATGAGGAAAATCAGCTGACTGACTAAACTAGCTTTCATTAGTAACCACTTGGGTATGTGTAGCCCAGTACTGGACTGAGTGAACTATGTGTTATCTGGGAAATGGTGATTCCACCATGATATCAGTGCCGAAATTGATTGGAGGTTCTGTTTTTTTTGTCCACTTCACCGAAGATTAACCAGATATCGAGTAGCATAGTCATACTCGGTTGTGACAGTGTTCCTAAGGCCAACATAGGTCAGAGGTATCACTTCACCCAAGTTACTGAAGCGGTATCTGCCTGCTATCCTAAGTACCCTATGTTGCATGCTATTTTTTACATTGACGAAGGTGCGAGCTTTGGGATCTGCCGTTTTCACTGTATTCTAACTAAAGTTACATGAAACTGAGAAGCGCGCCGTAACAGCGCTACTTTACCTTGTAAATGACCGCAGTTTTGCTGTGAACGTCGGTCGCATCATGCTGGATAGCTGCAAGTTAAGGTTCCAGTTTCGGAAGCCACGAAGGTAGAAGACAACTACATTGGGCTGGGTTGTACACATTTTTCGATGACGAACCCAGTTCCCATGATTTATGAGTCCCAGTCGGCTTGGCCTCTTGGAATTAGGATCATGTAAAAATGTCGTCTAATTTTAAGGTCTAGAGATGTTATTCAGGGACTGAATAAATTTCGGCCTTCGTTCCTTCTTAATAGTTATTTGCTTTTGCTCATGATGGGAACATACAAGCATGGACACCAAATCACTCATGGCGTCTAAACCTGACGGCCTTGTAGCGTTTGGGCGTCGTAATGCAGTAATAAAGAAGGACTGAATCTAACGTCAAATATCTGCACATTTGGTTCTGCTTCAGACCTTCATGTTGGAGTCCGTGAGTGAAGGAGCTTCAGTCAGTTGAATAGATTATCAGGCTGCACATTTGTTTGCAGTCGGCTCGCACCTTTGAGGTAAATTTCGAAGGTTGAGCGGCTTGAACAACGCACCTATTTGAATCTGGGTTAGTGATACTGAGGAAATGTTCAGACTATTCCATTGAAAAGTGGAGTACTGTTCGGATGTTTGTTTTTAAACGTAACTGCGTTCATCAGAAGGACTTCAATCTCCTTCGTAGATGAATTCCACCTCATTTTCTCTGTCAATTCTCGTTTGCTGCCATGTTTAATTTCAAGGCACATCAATTTTGATTGCAAAGCTTTACGTTCTGCGCTTTAATTGATGGCATCTAGTCACGAATTTGTACAGTGAGACGGAAACTGCTCTTTAGTAAATAGACTTCAGGTTGGAAGACGTGGGTGCTTGATTTGTTGAAAATTGGGAACCATGCTTTCCGACTCAGGACAAGTGCAGCCTTTGTGTGCTCTGAGACATTTTCAACTGTGTCATCTTAAAATACTCCCCTTCCTCTTCTAACGCGGTACGCTATCAGTTTTCTTCCTTTCCGAGTTGCTTACTCTGCACTGCGTCAAACAGAATTGTCGCACCTTGTTTGCACACAAATCACGGGAACTAAAACCACCCAATGACTGATGAGCGTAACCTGCGGACCTGATTGGCCGGCAATGCTATCAGATGATTGGCTGAAATCGAATCGGAACAGGCCACTTAAGTCTCAACAACTCCGGCAACTTGGTCGGTTAGCACCAAGACATGAGCTCTGGTGCCTGTGAAAGACCCCCAAGATTTTTACGTGGGAAATAAGATGGAAGGAACTGCACAGACATCTAGAGGTGCGGACGCAGATAAATTTGTAAACCAGTCGTTGTGGGATGAGGACACATACGGCCGATCCCCTTCTGTTTCCAACTTGCGAGTGGGCGGATTAAGACGTCGTGTGTCCAGCGCATGCTGCCTGAATGTGTTCCTACTGCTGGCCTTACTAATTTCTATCGCTGTGATTATGTATTTTCTCATCGGTCCGCTCTTTGGTCGCACTCGCCCTCCCGTGAACTCTGTGGTTTCTACTTTTTGTGGTATTGTACAGGGTACCGAATCAAAAGGTGTTGTATCTTTCCTTGGATTGCCGTATGCTCTTCCTCCACTTGGTCAGTATCGTTTCAAGCGGCCAGTAGAGCTAACCACAACTCATTTATGTGCACAGGCATGGACAAACAATAATTTTTCTGCAAATACCGATTCATACAATGCAACCGTATACAAATCCTCTTGTCTGCAGCTATCACCAGTTACGGATAAGATAATCGGAAATGAAGACTGTCTCTACCTAAATGTTTTCGTCCCCGCCATGGCCCTGACTTCTTCCAAAACAGAGCTTAGACCTGTCATCGTGGTACTAAATGGTTTATTTTTCACCTACGGTGGAGCAAGCGGTCTTCCCGTAAGTCAAGGCCAGCAACCACAACCAAGGACAGTGGAGTTAGTTGATGCTATTCATGTGACGCTGAACTATCGCATTGGACCTCTAGGTTTCCTGATTCATCCAGAGACTAAAGAAGCCAATATTGGTCTTTATGATCAGCTGGCAGCGCTACGTTGGGTGAGAAACAATATTGGTGCGTTCGGAGGTGATGCGGCTCGTGTAACCCTCTTTGGTTACGGTTCTGGAGCGACCTGTGCGTTGGCACTAGCTTTCAGTTCATTGGGTCAGAATCTTTTCGATAACTTGTGGATTTCCGCTCCGGCAGTTCGAAAACCGCATTGTTCACTTCAAGAAGCAGTGGAGAACTCACGTCGGTTGTATTCTTGTGAGCCAGGCAGTACAAGACCGTGCTCGAATGGATTGTTGACAGATCCGAAAGATATCGTCCGTCTATGGAATTGGGCACGGATTGAGTCGTGGATGAAAGACTCTCTCTTCAGTCTTCCATCTTCTGCGCAAATACAGGGCGGGGCTGAGCAAGATTGGGTGGACCGAATCTTGATAGTGGACCACGAAATGATTGACCCCAAAAGATGGTATCGACCAATCTATCACCTATCCACAGTATTAGGTCAGACAGCCCACGAAACCGCCCTGTTTGTCAGTCCAATTACTGTACCCTTTTGGGATGAAAGCTTTTATCGACGGTACCTTATAAATACTCTGACCAGTGGGACAAAAATAGGACAAGATATAATTGACCAATATCTGATTGTTAGTAATAAAACCACATACTGTTCCTACCCTAGATCGGGTAATTCATTCGGGTTTGACGTAGAGGCACGGATGACCGGTCTTATAACCGATGCTCGCTGTACCTGCCCACTAGCGGAGACTGTCCAACAGTTGGCTTCCTCACATGGGAATTTCGTATATCATTACTACCTTTTAGGTCAACATCGCAGATTCGACCCGTATTCATTCACTTCCTTCGTATCCTTATCATTCCATGGTTGGGACGGAATGGTCTATCTTCGTGGCTATACAACACATCCTGATTATATCCAATCTATGCTGGATCAAAATGACCATGATCATCTGGAGGATTTGGGAAGACAGAGTGATTTGCTCAACACTGTAATGCATGAATTTTCTCGAACAGGCCGTATTCTTAGTTGGAACCCCGTTGAACCGGGCAATACTCCTGTGAACCTGATTGAAAACGGGGCAGTCTGTACTCCGCCAAAGTTTGTCGAAGAACGTTGTCTTTTATGGAAGCTGATGACAAACGGTAATCCGCTGGACTTGGCGTGGAGAAGCTGAAAACTATGTATGTTAGTATATGTGTATGAGTGAACATGCGTAGCGATTCGTTGTAAGCATTTTCCTTCTTTCTTTATTACCACAGTCTTTCATATTATATTATTCAATGCTGGGACATGTAGCTTTGTCTAGATGGAGACGGGTATAATAAATAACTATCGATAATACGATTATTTTTATCCTGAAAACTAGAATTGATTAAGCGGGACTGTAAGCACGTTATAATTGAGGCGCAGATGTATACATCATGAACAGAACGTTCGGATGGACCAAACTAATTTGAAGAGCTTCATTTATCATAAAAATGACGAGTCCCTGAAGAAAATCATATGGTAAGATTGTGTGGTAATAAAAGTTCGCCATGGTTTGATCTGCACTCCTTATCACTTTCTTTGGGTAGTTACAAAAGGCCGTTCCACACCAACGATTTTCAGACCCTCCAATAAGCAAAAAAAACTTAACACTATGGTGAGTTTGACTGGGTTGATTCCAATCAACACGTATTGTAGTAATAAAAAAAGACGGCATAGCAAGAACAGTGTGAAATTTTACGTGCAAAATTTGAAGCTCATTTCAAATAGGGTACACAAAAAGAAACATATTTGAAAATCTGTTGGTATTATTAGTTTGAAGAGGTCCATACTCAAAATTGGAGTTCACGGGGTTTTGTTTCATTTTTACAAGTCTACTGGAGGAACGAGATTAGAACACGGTCCCTTATATCCGCTTTGACAGGGTCATGAGGAGGTACACTTTACGAATCCTTGTCAGTTTAATTTTTTCACCTTAAAGCGTGAATGTGGTAAACACCCTAAGGTCTGAGTGCAGATGAAAGGAGTGTACTTTTAGTCAGGTTGAAACACTGCGTCCTTTTTTATCAGGAAAGAAGATATGTGTCGCGATATGTATCTTCTCCCTGCTTTCACAAAGCGTGCTTGGCATGGAAAAGTGCGATGAGTCCGTTTGACTTCTGGAAATTTGGTCAGTTGAGAGCAGGCACATGTTACTTCCACCTTTTTCACGGTTCTGTAAGATAAGCGGGATATGATTTAGAAGCGAGATATGATTTAAAACAGAAAAAGAAGTCAGTCCAGAAAGAAAATCCACTACGCGTTTCTTTCTGACGGTTTTGATAACGTTTTAGTTGAGTTATCTACAAGAGGAGCAACACAGCGGAGTGAAACAGAGTACCACTGTTGTGCAGGGACTAGTAGACAACAACGAACTTTCGCATTGATTATGGAGCTTCTCTTATCATCCAGAGTAGGATAGCTGTGTGACAATAAAATAGGAGACGTCATAAGCCATTTGGGAAAGATAAGTGGTATCGGTTTTATCCGGAAAGTACTGTCTGGCCACATCTTTATGGACCACCAAAAATTCACGAGCTGGATTCCCCAATAAGACTGATGGTGGATGGCTTAGACCGACTACCACATGAGTTGGAGAGATTTTTAGTGAGAATTTGAAAACCACTCACAGGGGAATGAACCCCTTAAGAAACTTATACGGCTATGAAAGACGACTTTGCTGACAACGTCGCAAGATTTTCTCTGGAGACGGACGAAATTCTTGTGACTTTTAATGTTATCCCGATATATATATATATATAT